ATTTGTTCAGGATTGATGTGCACTAAACTTTAGCTTTGAATCATTGAAGCTGTAGATATCAATTCTCTTCTCATTATATTGGATATACAAAAATGATGCGAAGAACATTTGACGGGCCCCGTATTGTATAGTTTATAGTGTAGACCAGATTCTTTAGAAGTTATTTCTTTATGCAGTTTAGACGGAAATTCCATAAAATGGCCATTTTTTCTTCTTCCAAGCAAATAATCATGAACTAATCACTAATTAACAGACACTTTTTAAGTACCATTATTCCTGCTTTCAGAAAGTTAGGAAACTAGTAAGGAGCACATTTTACCTAAACTTTTGGGCACGTATAAATATGACCCTTGCCGGAAAACAGAATTTATCTGGATATCGACTAGTTTTCGATAAATTTAGAATAAATTATACGTATTATGAAACGAGGTCCGGATCCCTATTTATCTGATACTTCAAGCAGTTTTCCATTTCATTCTGTTATCTACATATTTACAAATGAGGCTATATAATCATTGTCTAGCCGAAAAATAATTGTATTGTGTTGCGTTAATTGGGTCCTTTGTTGATTGTCGAATTGACTGCGCCCTTTATTTTTTAGTAAAGTAAATTATTTAAAATATTATATTATTATGACTTTCTAAAGGCATAGAGTGCGCTCTCGAAAATATTATCCTTTTGACCCACAGGCTATGAATACAAATCCGGCGGCCGGCAATATCGCACGGATCCCTACGCCGCTGATTATGTCGTAAATTAATATCGTTCGTCTCGGCTTTTGCCAGTCAAAACTCATTAAAGAAAACTACTTAATCAATTTATTTAATAAAAGTTGATTAACTCGAGTAAAATTAAACTATATTCGGGATTTTCGACGGCCGGTTCGCTCAACTTTCGAGGCAAGTTGTAAAATCGAAAACTTTGGGAAAATAGACCGGAGGAATTTATTCATGGCGCCGGTGCGGTGGAAAGCTTGTTTTAGGTGTGCATGGACACTAATTGGAATTCTTAAAAGATTATAATTATTGCACGACGCTTTCCCGGATCGATTCTAAATAAGAAAAATATTTCGAAGGAAAATTGTTTTGTAACGCAGGTTTTAATTTTTTTAATTTTAATTTTAATGCTCAAGAAATTATATTGTTCATATTCGTTGTTGTTCACTATATCTTTGGTTTATGTTTAAGTTGGATGACATTTACCGCTTGTGATTTTTAACTATAATTGCGGGAATTCAAAAGTGTACAAGTCCAAGAATAGTGAATCGATAATAAAACTACAATTTTTATAGCCAACAAATCAAAAAACTTCTGAAAGTACTTAAAAAAAAGGTCACACATTCAATTTTTGCTTCCCCTACGAATTTCATCAAAATGTTAATTTTGCATAGATAAAGAGTTTTTCAATTACTATTTACTGATTACTGTTTGTTGATGAATTAAACAGAGCTTAACTGAAATTGTTTCAATTAAGCTCTGAAGAAGCCAATAGGATGATTTGCGGAACATTATGCAATTGTATATTTTTTCTCTTTTGTACTTAGACATGCTGTAAACGTACTACGTATTGTAATTCAGTCAAATAAAAATCTATCTATCTATCCCAATTCTACGTTTCTAACGTTTCGCAAACAAGTTCGATTTATCAACAGCCGATGCAAAAGAAATCCAAAAGTTTTCTAAATAATATTAGAGTAGCCTGTGGAAGTTTCTTTGAAAAAAAATAACGTTTTTCAATTGGTAGCATCTGTAAAATCTATTTATTATGCAATTACTTACCCCAAATCACCATGGTAAACGGAAATGATAGTTTATTAGCCTTAATATTGTACCCGTTTTATGGTAGACATGTTAGCATACGTAATGGCATACTGAGAGGCATGTCTAGCGATACTTATGATGCACGAAGTAAATTAAACCTAGTTCAATCATTCTTAAGATTATCCGTAATTAAGCAAAACCCACGAGTTATGGGGATTTATGAAATGGTGAGTCTGGACAACACGTTAAAGTGAAACCTCACGCTTTCTCAATTTAAAGCAAAAGTGAAGGAATTCCGTATTCAAAAATGCTATTAAATACTCGCCACAAGATTTTTTATCAGTTACTTAAGAAACAATTTATGTCTTATTTATGTTTTTATACTCCGAACTAGCGAAACAAATTCTATTCTGTTCTATTCTTTTCATAATTAGTCACCAGCAGACATTCTAAAAGGACACAGTACGAGATCAGCTGCACGAAAAGTTAAATTGCAAGCGTACCCTCAACAATTACTCAAGCATGTTTTAAGAAATGTATGCCACCCCTTACTATATATTCATTTTTGCTAAACTATGGAAGACTCAGTCAGAAATATGTGTAAAATATGATACATTTGTTTTCCGGGCGTGTTGAAAATTAAAACTAGTAGTAAATGATAAAAAAGCGTTAAACAACAAACAGGTTGGGGTTGTTTCGGTATTCGCAACAGTTTCGGTGGCCTCGAAACGCGAAAATTGCCTATTAATAGTGTTAACAGGAACATTATAGCTCCAACCGGTGGTCCTATTTAATTTTTGGTCCGGTCCCCCCTATTTAGGCGCGTGTCCGGTCATTGGGGGCGGCGCTCGCACAGCCAAATGAATAAGCGAAATTACTCCAAATAGGGGCAGGCGGGGTGGGGCGGCATGGGTGCCCTACCTGCTGCCCGCCGCATGCATCAAGTTGCAAAGCAGGTCGCGACGGGTGGAGGTCGTATGTAACAAACCGGGCGAAAATACCCGATCTGGGGAGACGTGTTGCTTGGGAAATGTGGCACTGGGGTAATTCTCTGACGGATAGGTAATAGGTAAGAGAGTGTTCCGGGGGACTTTTCACCTAAATTCGCTTCCACAATCATAGAAAGTAAATTAATAACGTATAGTACCACAAAAGTGCTTTCTAATTGGAAAAAAAGGTTGATTAGCGTCTTCTCATTTACACCAAATAAAAAAGTTTTGAGGAAGTGTTTTAGGATTTTACAAAAATCGTTCTATATTACGCTATAAGTGGCGTCTTATTTAAAATTTTCATCCATAACGTAATAATTGTTGGTCTAGCCAACACTGAGAAACTTCTTTTTACTCTTAGAATTTCTAATAGGAACAGACAAAATAAACAGAGATAATGTTTCGGTGGTAGAGCATAGCTTTTTTTTAAGGCATACTATTTGTTTACACTGAGTACTTACATCGTGCTGTAGCCAGTAGCTTGGTCGATATTCATTGTTTAATAATTCGCTTCATTTCCTTGAGTTAAAATATTCTAAGTCTTAATATTATTATATAACGTTAGCGGGCACTATTTTAAAATATCAATTTATGGAAATCATTAAGTATTTTTTCTGGAATAGGGAAGAATCTATTCATTAAATTATATTACGCTATAGCTATCAGATATATAGAGACCCTGCGTGTGCCGACACTGCAACTTTTGAATTCAACAGGAAAAAAATTTCAGAGTTGTCATTAAATATGCTCACGCGCGATCGTTTTAAATTTCCTTTTTAACCAATAAGAGATGTAATTGCAAATCAGTCAATAAGACCTGGCCATCGACATGGCCCCTGAAAGGTCATCAATTCGGCGGTTTTCAATTTGAATTTTGTATTTTTTCAAAATATGCCCACGTTTCATTAAATGTTCTGAAAAAAATGTGTCAAGTGTCTCAAGATAGCGGAGTAAAGTGCAGGTTAAAATATCAGAGTCGTCCAAAGCACGTTAATTAGATATATAGTGTGTCGCATTTAAGATGAAGACCCCCTCTCTTGTGACTGCCTAAATAAATACACAGACAGTCATTCGAATTGATGGTTCACATTTTTTTAAGAAAATTAAATTTTTAACTTGCCCTACTGTGTATGCACAAACAAGGTCAATTTTTGATAGTTCTGCTTCACGTTAGAGATATCGGAAAAAGTTGTTCCAAATATTATTCTAACATACATTTTCATTATTTTGGTCAATACCTATACAAAATTGTTATACATTAGTTTTTTTTATTTGATTAACTAGTGTGCCATGGAAATTAACAATTTGACATTTGTGACACCATTAATGTCAATCAGATTAAACTTTCAGTTCTATTTATCAATTACCGAATTAAAGTGTCGTTGGATTGTTTGGTGATTTTGCTCATAAATTTAATCAGTTACCCACAAAAAATTGTTGTTTTCTTAGGATTGTTCCTTTGTGTTAGTGTTAGTTATTTTACTGAAGAATTTAAATTACATGAATTACACTATTATATAGACCATATCGTATAGATTTTGCTTTTCAAGGCACAGTAATTTGTCAAATAAAACAATCATCTTTTGAAAATTGTGTGTATAGAAAATCCGAATTTTGTTATGAAACTTGGTATCTGGGGTTAGAATAATATTCGACAACTTTTTCAAATAACTTTTTCCGATAGTTCCAAAGCGAAGCAAAAATATCGAAAATAGACCCTGTCGATTGGCAGTAGGCCGCGTATTGAGTATCTTAAAAAATGGGAACCGTAACCACTGTACAAAATTTCAAATATATATTTATTTAGGTAGTCGAAAAAGTCAAGAGTTCCAAGAGTGTCTTCATCTTAATTGCGACACGCTGTATATATGAACACATGTTTGAAATATTGCTTTGGGGTAACTTCTTGCGTAAATTATTTCGAGTCGTCTATTGAGCGTCGTTCCGTATTCATCATAAAAACCCGATCAATTATCCATCTCTTAGGAAAGTATATTGCGATCACGACCGCCCCCCTACTCACGTTCCCCTCACTTCCCGGCAGCGGGCTACGCCGCTCCGTCGTCACACCTGTAGTTCGTCCACCTGTCCGCGTCCAGCACATACGAACTTCCTCGATCGCGGCGGCGGTGGCGGCGGCGGCGTCCCGCTTCCCCCCTTTCCCAGTTCCCCCCTCGCGCATCGGGGATCCGCGAGCGCGCGCCGCCTCTCTCGCACCTCTCCACTTTGCCACAAGTTCGGGCGGCCGGCACGACTCACACTCAGTCCGGGCTAGAACGCTTGCGAGTGCGGCGGTCCATACCTTTCTATTCCTACGATCTCTGCTCTTGTCACACACAACATATACACACACCATTATCAAGACACACTCGAAACATATACTCCACGCCTATCTTCGCGTCGGTCCGGAAGTCTCAGTTGGTCCGCGACGTCTTGTATCTCTTCACGCTGTCAAAATCGCCGTGACACGACCGTTTGTCGTAGTAACCCAGTGTCATAACTCTTTTGAATTCTCCCTCTTTATTCCAGTACTTTGCTGCCTCGATACAAAAAACGTAAATTGCCGGAAGTTTTTTATAACAACATAAATCCCGTTTGTCGCCCGAGTAAGGTTCCTTATTTCAAGTACAAAGCGATCCCCCGAAAAGTTAATATATATTTTTATTGGAACTAGTTCGAAAACGTTTTTTTCGTTAATTTTGGCGTTTTGAAGACCGAGACGATACCAGACGTCTTTGTCCAAGAATTTATCGACAATCATACAATTGTAAAGTAAAACGTAAGTTAAGCTATAATATACCTGTAATAAAACTAAGTGTGAGATAGCGTTGTCAGTAATTCTTGTACCGTTGGGCCTGGGGTCAGTTTTTTGGACCCGCCGTCCTTTTGCGCACAGCACGTAACGCCCCCGGTGCAATAATCACTCCATTTAGATGTCTTTTATTGTTAGTTGCGATATTACAATCCAGACATTTAAAGTCAATATTGAAGGCGGTGTTTAATTCGAGACAATCGCGTTCCGTTTTATAATAATAATAATAAAAATAATAATAATAAATTGTAATCAAGGTTGTGGTCAAGTTTACTTTTGAAACAGTTCTTCAGCAGTATTCGGTATATTTCTAGCATTAAGTCAGTGTTTGTATATGATACATATCTTTAGGAGTTAGCTAGTTAAATTTTATCAAAGAGTTTATTATATTTACCGGCTAGGCACTAAATGTTTAAGTAATCGATCTCTTTAAACGGAGACAATCGTGCAATATTTAATCGACACGCCACCATAACCAAACCAACCAATCATCGCGGACAATCCGTAAAAAGACAATCGAAATAGACGCGTCGGAAAAAGCAAAATTTCGCCCGTGAAGAGCCCGAAAATCGGCATCACGACGTTTTATTTCAACGCTCCTGGTCAATATCCCTATTTAGTGCCCTTTTGTCCAGTTGTCCCTCCTGAGTACCCCCCGACCGCCACCGCTGTTCAGACGCCCTGTGGTTGTGGCCAATGTGCCCTAGCGTATTCTAATCATCCCCAAGTCGCGACCCCGTCGACGTTGATCGTCAACAGGTACACGGAAATCAACTATTTCGACAATCAACACCACCACCAGCAGCAGCAACAGGCAGTGCATCAGCTGACTGGCTGTATCCCTGAAAAATACTGCGCTGGGATAGATATGGTAAGCCAAACGGATTAATGCAGATGCAGTTAACCAATTAGTATTGCAGTACGTTTTCTGATATATCTGCCCTACCGGAACGGTCCTATCTATTCAATCTCGAGTTCCACAATCAGCTATACAGTATATAGTATTAAGCCGGAGTTGCAGCTATCTAATAATTACCGAACACTAGGCTACATTGAACTAATGAGGAAAAACTTGTATTCATTATATTTTTCAGTTAAATTAAAGAAATCTTTTGAATTAAAAACTAGCATATAATCGAATTAAATGATTTATCAACCCTAAAAAACCTCAAAATAAAATAAGTTTCCCTAAATATTTCAATATTCTCTAGCACCTAACCCCGAAATTTACATTTTACATCGATTGTGGCCAAAATTCAAGATTTTGAATTTGAATTTCTCAAGTACGAAATTTACAGTAGATAGACCACATTTTTTATCAATAATATTGTTAGATTTAAATAAATCGAGATTGTTTTAAAGACGACTTTTCCGATCTTGGCGTCAATGTCGAGCGGTGCATGCCAGAGCAGGGCATCAAACTGATGCCCGTCGCCACCCTCTGCGGCGTCCCGGCTCACGCGCGCGAATAGACCCGAAGATTTCCCGACGCATCCGAAATCGATAGATCGCGCCAATATTTAAATATTCGAACGTAATCTAACACGGCCAAACTGACAACATTCCGCTCTCGGAATGCATGACTCATTTGAAGTGTCACAGACATGAACACACAGAAAAAAAACAAAGTTTTATTTCTTTACAGCAACGTTAAAATATATAGATGTGTACATCGGTAAAAATTCGTAAACCTTTCATTCTGCAGATTTATCATCAGCCGTCCCAGAGTTCCCTGTAATGAACAAAAAACGAGAATTCATCAATCAAATGAATTTCACAAACAATTGGGACTAGATTTACGTAATAACTCACAAGCTGACAGACACGATGGAAATTCTGTAGTAAGCACGCATTTACAAATACAGAGTTGACTTGAGTAGCACGATGGAAATACTGCAATAAGCACGTATTTGCGATGGGCTCTCAAACAACAAAATCAAAACACAGAGTTGACTTGAGCAGCGCGATGGAAATACTGCAATAAGCACGTATTTGCGATGGGCTCTCAAACAACAAAATCAAAACACAGAGTTGACTTGAGCAGCGCGATGGAAATACTGCAATAAGCACGTATTTGCGATGGGCTCTCAAACAACAAAATCAAAACACAGAGTTGACTTGAGCAGCGCGATGGAAATACTGCAATAAGCACGTATTTGCGATGGGCTCTCAAACAACAAAATCAAAACACAGAGTTGACTTGAGCAGCGCGATGGAAATACTGCAATAAGCACGTATTTGCGATGGGCTCTCAAACAACAAAATCAAAACACAAAATACTCCAAAGACTATTTAAATTAGTTTTATATACACAACTCAAATCAATCTAACACGGCACAACAAGTCAAATTATGTACTTACAATTGTCTAGTTGTAATAATCTTTGGAAATCGTCAGGCGTCCAATCAGTAGGCCAATGCCGCAACTGATCCTTAGAACATTTAAAAGTTTTCGGAGTACCTAATTTCTTAATCAAATACCGATTATTGGTAAGTGATCTCTTGATTATGTAAGGACCAACAAATTCACAAGAAAACTTTTCAGGTCTTTGACCTCGGCTTAACAAAACAGTATCACCTACTTTATACAGCTGATTGTCTCTTCGCTTCTTATTTAGATAATTCAACTGCCTTTCTGAATTTTGCCGTAGTTTCTTTATAACTGCGGAATAATCCACTGGAGATTTAGTTTCATCAGGGATTGGCAAATCGGTTAAGACTGTACGAATTTGAGGCGTTTGACCCTCTCGACCAAATACTAACTTAAAAGGTGAGCAACCAGTCGTCTTTTGTTTCGTAGTATTGATTACTAACTGGATCTTCCATACTTTGTTCGGCCAATCTGTTACTTTATTGGATTCAACTCTTAACAAATTGGTAATAGTTCGCATATAGCGTTCTATTTGTCCGTTGGAGCGATGAACACCGGGGGTTGTCACGTGTAATTCGATGCCAAAATATTCGGTAAATGATTTAAATATTTTTGCTATGAAATTAGTTCCAGCGTCGTGAATTAGTTTGGAGGGCGTGCCAAATATGCTGAGGAATTTAGCAAAATTTTGTGTTGTTTCTTCTGTAGTAACGGTGGATTGAGGATATAGGAGACAGAATTTGGAGAAGGCGTCAATTATAACAAGGATATATTTATAGTTTTTTGGATTACCTGGTAAGGGGCCCAGACAGTCGACATGAACTGTATGGAATGGTTCATCGGGCTTTGGGATAGAAGTAAGGAAGCCTTGTTTAGGACCCGTCTGATTTTTTCGTACTGCACATATCAAACAGTGTTCAACATACTTTTTAACATACCTGGTCATATGGGGAAACCAAAAGTAAAGTCTGATTGAGGCAAGAGTTTTTTCCCAACCTATGTGACTTTGATCATCGTGAAATATTTTCAAAAGACTATAACGGTTATTAGATGGTACAAAAAGTAAAGACTGAGACGATTTGTTATTTTTATTGGTTGTAATACGAAATAAGGTCTCTTTTTCTAATTTATATTTTCGTTTGACATCATCTTTAGCATCGTTCAAAGATTGAATGATTTGTTTACATTCCTCATCTTGACTTTGTGATACGGTAAGCCAATTTTTATGAAAATTGGGTTGTGAATCGATATGAGCTACAGTTTCAATTGGGTTCCTGCTAAGGAAGTCAACATGAGATATTTCAGAGCCCTTACGATAAACAATTTCGAAGTCGAAATCCTGCATATAAGCCCACCAGCGGGCGGTCCGCGGCTTAAGTTCTTTTTTGCTTGCAGATAATTTTAAGGAATTGCAATCAGTTACTAAAGTGAATCTTAATCCAAGCAAATATACACGAAAATTTTTTAAAGCTTTCACAACGGCCAGAGTCTCTAGTTCAAACGAATGATACATAGCTTCATCTGGATTGGTTTTTTGACTGAAATATTCAACTGGACGAAAGGTATCACTGTGTTTCTGCAATAAAATAGCACCGAAACCAATACTGCTCGCATCAGTATGCAATTGAGTCTCTAAATTTGAATCGAAAATTGACAATAGGGGTTTTTGAGTAAGGACATCAATAACATACTGCCTTGCTTTTTCACATTCAGTCGTCCAAACAAAGGGAACATCATTACGAGTCAAGTGAGTTATACAAGCTACTTTGGAAGAAAAAGCGGGAATAAATTTACGGAAGTAGCTCGCCAAACCGATGAATTGGCGCACTTGTTTCACGTTAGTGGGTGACAGACTTTCCTTGACTGCTTTAACTTTATTCGGATCAGGTCGGATACCATCAGCCGATATTTGACGACCTAAATAGGTGATGTTTTGCATAAAAAATCGACATTTACGAAGGTTAATTGAAAATCCGGCTTTAGACAAAGCATCAAGAACTAATTTTAGTTTACAAAATCCATCCTCAAGTGTGATGGAGGGTATTACTATGTCATCCATGTAAACAACCGCGGTGTCATATTTTAGGTTACCTAAAGCCATATTAATTGCTCTCTGAAAGACCGCAGGACCATTGGCCAGTCCAAAAGGCATTTTTAAATACTCATACTGACCATCCGGTGTCACGAAAGCGGTTTTTGGAATCGACTCGGGATTAATCGGGATTTGGTGAAAGCCCGAAGCCATATCAAGTGACGTGAAAAATTTATTTTTGCCTAAACGATCGAGCTGATCGTCAATACGTGGCAATGGATACCGATCTCTTAAAGTTATTTTATTCAAATGACGATAATCGACACACAATCGAAATGTCCCATCTTTTTTCTTAACGAGTATAATCGGGCTCCCAAATGGAGAATTGCTCTCCCGGACGATTTCGTTTTTAATTAGATCAGCAACGATGCCACGTACTTTCTGACGCTCAAACTCCGACATACGGTAGGGATGGTGATAAACAGTTTTGTTTTCTGTCAATGTGATGGTTAATTCCCCGGTATTGACAGGTTTAATGGTAAAATCAGTAGCAGTTGACAAATTCTGATAATTCCCCAGCAGTTTGATTAGTTCAGCCATTTCTGCATGCTCCAGATCACTTGTTATTTCCGAGTTATGAATGGTTCGAGTAGAATTTGTAAGCGCAAGCATGGGCATAATTTTTTGAACGTTTTTATTTTTTATTAAAACTACATTATTTTCGTAAACATTTTCACCAACGATAACGTCATATTTGGAATGACTATGCGGCACAATAACAAGATCAAGCGTTATTTTTATTTCGGGAAACTCTACCAATGCTTTGGTAAAAGAAAAAGAATTATGTATGGTACCGTCGAACCATCGTAAAGGAGTAACACGCGGAATTTTCTTTAGATTTAATTTGTCTACCAACGTTTCTTTTATTAGCGAACACGTGGAGCCGGTATCAATTAAACAATTTGTAGTGTAACCCGAAATAACGATAGGCACAGTTTTTAACTTGTTTTCATTAAAATTATGTGAATTGAGCAAAACGTGATGAGATTTAAATTTCTTTACGGTTGGGTCCTGTCCGGACTCTGAAACTTCACTTCCTCGACTTTGTTTATTTTGCCGACGAAAACAATTTTCAATGCCGTGACCAGGTCTTTTACAATATCGGCAAACATCAAACCCTTTATTATCCGAGTTATTGGTATTCTTAGTTTTAGATTTACAATCGCGAGAAAAGTGTCCCGATTGACCGCAAGAATAACAATTTGCCTGCGTCGTTTTTTTGTGTGAAAATACATTATTTTTCTTATTCAATTCGGATGCCGATTTTTCGACCAGAGGAATTTTTATGTAATTAGAGAGAAATGCAATTAAATCACTAACAGAGGCGGCACTACAATTATAGGCCGCAGTTCTGACCGCAAGATCGTCTATTGAATGAGCAATTATTTCGATCAAATCCGAATCAGACC